AGCCTATGTCCCATGTTGGATCCCAACTCATATATGGCCTCAGCTACTGACATATTGGGACTCTGATGAATATAAGAGGCTCAGTACAAGGGGAGCAAAGAATAGGAGCTCTGGGGAAAGGGTGACTCACACCACTGGATCCGTTAGCTTTGGCATCCATGAGATGCGGATGGTAATCAAGCTTAATTAATAAAAAATTTAATATATTAGATTTTATCTAACATTAAATTGTGTCAATTTATACTAACCAATATATTGCATTATCAATATTTTGAAATATAGACTGAGTCTAGAGGTGGTGTGCAACCTCCCCATCAAGAGAAATTCAAGGAGACACACACCTTCAGAAAAAAGGCGGGAAAAGATCAAGAGCCATCGTGGATCAATGAAAAAGCAAAGTATCGATATGTAAGTATATATAACATATAAATTAGCATAAAATCTATAGTTATAAGTGTGAAAAAAATTTATGTAATTAATCTAAATTATTTAGCAAAGTCTACTTTTTTTTATAGATTCTTTTCAAACTACTTTTGACAACATTATTACTATCACTATTATTTTTTCAGGATACTTATGTTGTGGAGTGCACAGATAGTCATGGCTCTTATGGTAGTTCGTGGCCATGCATGGATAACAAGGCATGGGTTAAGGCTGTTGGAGGTTGCTCATCTAATTTCATGCCAGAGATTGGCTCCCAAGTAAATCCAGAAATGGTTGGTTTTACTTACAAGAAGAGACAACCTCGAGAAAACTTAATAACAACACTGATGGCATCTGACTATGAGGAGACATAGGCAAAAGATCATGAGGAGTTAGAAAGACAACGCCAACAAATTGCTTTGATGCAACAGCAGCTGGCCAATATGACAAAAGCTCAAAATAATATGAGCCAGACAATCGCACAGTCTATTGCAGCAGCTCTAGCCGCTCATGGCATCTCTCCTCAAGCAAGTCATCATCCAGGTCATCATCTAGTTGCCCCACCACAGCCGTCACATGGTCCTGGCTCAAGTCTTCGCATGAATTCAGCTTTCACCTACTCCACTGATTCTACACAAACCTCTCCTATGGTCCCTGAATATCAACAGCAGCGGCAGTTTTCGCCTCAAGATGATGATGTATACCATCCTACTTTTGATCCAGACTATCAAGGTCCTTAGTTTTTTTACTTTTCTGCTACGCACATTATCTACATACTTTGCATGGTTGGCTTTATTTCTATTAGTACTTTAAACTGTTAGCTTTAGCTTTTATTACGTTATATTTTCTTATTTTGCTTGACCTCTAGTGATCATACTTCAAAAGGTATGAAGTTTTGGACTACTTTGGAGGTTAATTATTATTAACTAAATATCGTGGGTATTTAAAA